CTTGGCCGCCGGCTGGCATGGCAAGAGCATGACAGCATTTGCTGGCGGCCACTCGCAGCGACGCCAGCACCATAACCGTGGAAAGCGACTTTGGCCACGGCTCGAGCTCACCACAGCAAGTGCTGCATTTAAGAAAACAGAACATCGTCAATCTTTCCTCTACCTTCTGTATTCAGAGCTAAGTTTTTGAATTGGCCCTGGGTCTAGGCAGACTAGGCGGCCGCTTAGGGCCCCCCAAGGTTCAGGGCCCCCATAAAACGATTTTGCGTCTAAGAATGCAAGAAGAGTAATGTTTACTTGAATATTAATCGATGTAAATGCAAATCTAAATTAGTTATACAAGCTTTAATGTTAATTTTATAAATTTTATTTGAGCTACTTTTGAGGGACCCTTTTTCGGAGCTCGCCTCGTACCCCTGAGATCTCAGGGCCGGCCCTGGAATCAACCCCTCCGACTTTTACATATACAAGTTACAATCTTCCCTATATTCTGCGAGCAAATATTCCATACGTTTTTCAGCAGCGCAAAATTGCATTCGGATGTTACCTTAGCGTCGTCACCGGAAGCTACGTTGTAGAAATATTTTCAATCAGTGCAGCCAGGGTTTTCGAGCTGTTTCGTAGGCAATCCAAGGCAGCGTCGACGAATCGCTTGGTAACTTCGTTATGCAAAACGATGCTTCCCGGTTCTCTGGCCCGCGGTGAGACTAGTTCCTTCGCTTTTCTTTTTCCTCTCTTCCTCGCCCGCTTTTCGACCTCCTCTTTCCACTGCAAGTTAAATTCCACTCAAAACGTTCCGTTTCCACGAGGCTTGTACTTGCAGCATCGATAACTCTGCTCCGTAAAGCGATCTGAAATTAAAGAAAAACAAAGGTCGTGTTAATTCTTACGTCGACGAGGACTAAGTTGAACGATCAAAAAGTAGTAGATTTGATGGGTAATTTAGAAAAAGGGTTGGTGGAACTTCGGGGATTGCGGATGTAAATCTTTAAAGCAAACAATCCGGGAGAATCACGGCGAAGATTGAACGAGCCTCGAGCGAAATAGGATCTCAGGAAGATTGCCAGCCTCGGACGTCTAAACTTTGTAAACTAGTGATTTAAATTTGTTGCTACCTTATACGAGGGCGTTAAGTCAGGCGAAGGAGAGTTGCATGGTGGAAATATATTCATTATTTTCGCGCAATCTTCGATCTTTAGGCTCGTGTGCGAGCGTGAAGTTCATCAATTTCGGACCGTTATCGCGAGCATCGTTTAGATCGCGTGTTTTTATTCAATGTTGCGTGAAAATCATTTTTTACAATAATTTTCATCGATATGCAAAAACAATTTTGGATAAGTTTCCGAATGGCCCCACCAAAATTGAGAACTCAGGTTTGGTATATAACATAAATTGATTACCAGAAACCGATTAAAATTGGTTTCAGAGCTGGATGTCTTACCGTTTTTGAGATATCGTGGTAAGAAATTTTTGTACAATTTTGGGACTACGTATGCGCTATTCGATACTGCGCATGCGCTATTCAATACTGCGCATGCGCTATTCACTACTGCGCATGCGCTATTCAATACTGTGCATACGCTATTCGATATTGCGCATACATGGTACCTAACTTAACCTAACCACGATATCTCGAAAACGGTAATACATCCAGCTCTGAAACCAACTTTAATCGGTTTCTTGTAGTCAATTTAGATTATATACCGAACCTGAGTTTTCAATTTTGGTGGGGCCATTCGGAAACACAGCCAACATTTTTAGGAAGGATCTTGTTTCATTACCCTATTCAATATTTTATTGAAAATATATAATTTTTGGTCTCCGATGGAGTTGTTCGCGCATTAAAAATAAATCATAGACACGAGGAGAAAAATTATTTAGTAGCCCGTTATAACTTTTTCATTGAGTATTAATAAATGATAACTGAAATCTCCATTTCGTGGATATTATTAATCTTTTTAAACGGATGCTATTCAGCGTCCAGCGAATTTTCATTGAATCGAAATTTTAATTATAGAGAACCATCGACATACATATTCACCGATGCTTTTACGGAAGCTCCGATGCATGCTTTTTTTGATTTATTTATGAAATACTTGAAACCCCTCGCTTTCAATTTTCATTTCGATACGATAGTTTTTAATTAAAGGACACAATGTACATCGTTCATCATCCTCGTTTCCGCACAATATAAAAAGACTTTAAATTAATTACACGATCGAATCAATCAAACATTGTCAACGTGAACAAAAAATTTATCAACAGGAGTGGGTCCGTAAATTATGAACTCTTGAAAATAATTAATTTTTCTTTGTAATTGCAATGATTAGAAAAAATCGTGTCTCAACTTTCTGATTCTTGCGTGCTCATTGAAAGTTTCAGATAAGCGTGTACCGATTAGGGTTGAATTTGAAGGGGAGGAATAAATAAACGAGCTGAAACACGATTTCAAATCGTTATTCATCTCACTAACGAAACGATTTGTCAACTTTATCGTTAACGGTATTGCATATCAAAGTTTTTCAACTTTTCAAGTTTTGTATCGCGATAAAAAGTGTCGCGTGTCTTTGCAACGTTATTTAACAGAAATTTCATTTCCCCGTGTACGATACTTAATATTTTTCATTCATACTTTATAATAGTTCTAGCTACGCTGCAAAGCTTCCTCTTAGAATTCACACGGATTCTCACTTAAACAGTCGACACGGTTCTTCTCGAACAGAGAAGCTGAAAAAGCTTTTTGATGTTCGTGAAAACAATCTTCTCCGCGGGGGATTAAGTTAATGATTCTTGTTTTCTCGAAGAACGTGTAAGAAAGCATGTAAAGCCGAGCTCAAAGCTTTGATTTCAAGGAAATTCGTTCTGAAAGCTCGCAGGAGGATAAGTACTGTGCTTTCAAACGCGGTTTAATCCCCTCAAAGTGAATCTTCCCAGGAAGAGAATTCCTAAGTTAATTTCAAATTAATTTCTTTTCTCGGTTAATTAACGTTGAATTTCCCTTCGACCAATTTCTGTATTTTTTAAATCAATCCTCTTCGAGCTACCTTTCATCGGTTTTGAATATTATAAACAATAGATAATTAGATATTTGGCAATCCAGAAATTTTTTGTTAATTTCAATAAAAAATATAAAAAAGGGAAAGTTTCGATTGGCGATTAAATAGAGCATAACAACGAGACAACCGAGTCACACATGGGAACGTGGTCAGAGGAATCGAAGTTTCCCGCTAATTTAATTTCCAGTCTCAATTATCGGCCGCGACTCACTCCCTAGACGGCTCTAACTTTCAACCCTCAACGCGTTGCTCCCCGAACAGGGCTGAGCCTGTAACACAGTCTCTGCATTCCGCCACTTTGTCTTGGGATTGACGTTTCATCCGCAGAAATCGACAGACCGAAAGAACCGACAGGATTGCTCTGCGTCTTCCTGGCCACGTCGGGGAATAAGGCGCGGAAATGAAAGAAACTGTGAGATAACAGGGGCGAATTCGAAGGAAACGAGGAGAATAGATGATTAAATCCGTTAAGGGAAGAAGAAAGATTTCAATAAATATTTAACAGCCCGTTTGAATAATTTTTTAGTCGACAGAGAATTTTTTAGTCTCTTAACAAATTACAAACACTCGAGTAACTATTTATTTCTATCAAACCTCTAAATCACGGATCGGAAGTAAATCGTTTATTTACCATCACCTATCTCCGATACCTATTTCCTCTAACGCAGCAAAATCGTGAGAAAAGAATGGAAGAGGTGCGATAGATTTCAGAAGGGAGAGAAACAAAGAAAGATTGGAGCAGAAAGGACGAAGAAAATGCATTTTCCCATGTCGGAAGAACTCCTACCTCGATCCATCGATGATTTGACTTTATAATCGAGCTAGCCTCGTTCAATTACGATGGAATTTCTCACGGAATTTCGCGCAAACACCGTCACGATCCGGGACGAGTCGATCGTGTCCGGGTAAATATCCCCTCGCAACCAGCTTCGCCGATGCGATTGAGAACGGATCGGATCTCGAAATTAACGATTAATGCAAAAGAGGAAATGATATTTGTCTATCTATCGTGGAGATATGTTTACCGCTATGCGAACCATCGAAATTATTAATTTTAATTTTATTTTTATTTTTTAAAAATGCCCTGAAAATTGTAACGTGAAATGTAAAGGTATATCAGCGTAGAAACGACACGGTAAATTGTGTTTTAATTAAAATCGAAAGGATCCGATGAACGTAGGCAGTACCAGTGGTTGCTGACAGTGACTGGTTCTACACCATCTTTCGCTTGCTGTTCTTTCAAAGCTTCCAGTTAAACGAGGTTCAATCACATCCCGTTCTCTGATACTTTACAACCAGCGCAGAACATAGAACGCCCATCGATGCGCTTTTGTTCAGAACAATTGCCTACTTCGGTGAACTACACTTTTATTACGTAACACCGACGGCCATTGTACTGTTGGAATTTCCGTCGGAAGTCGTAAATGTGACAGATTCTTCTTTCTTTTTTCGTATATAATATCATATCAGTGCCAACTGTTCTTCCTTTGTCGAAAGCATGCGTTCTGTCAATTTGTATAATGAACTATAATATATAGTGAAGAAAATTAAATGTAAACTAAAATAAACCTTTATATGTGTCATGATTTAAAGAAACAACATTTTAAAGTTTATGTTACGCTATGTTAAAATCATCATAGTAATTTTGTCAATTTTGGAAAATAAAATCTTGATCTCAAACGCTAAAATATGAAGACTAATAAATCAAATGATAGCGTTGTAGTTACTCAAAGAGTATAGTATTTCATTCGTGATTAATCTATTAAACTATGCTTTTTAATTGCAATAAGGTTGAGATAATATTTGAGTCTAGAATTAAAAGAAATAACTGATATTAAATATTGCCGTCTATAAAGTGTTTGAATGAGGTGGAAGCGAGTCGATCGATATCTCGCATGAAGTTGGCAACGCATGCGCTTCGATTGCGCTCAATCCGAGGCAAGTTCAGTGAGGTCCACAGTGGCACTCAGGCAGCTGGGAGGGGAGGGTGAGATTTTTGTCAATAAAATCTCGTCTTTTTTTTCTTATTTAAGAAACACTGTGCTCAATGTAAATAAGTGAAGGGTTATTATTCTTCAATAGATTGGAAGAACGCGTGAGTATCTACATATTTGACGAATTTTTCTTTGAAAATTGTGTTCAGACATCTTGCCGTTCCTTCGAGTGTCAAGTTGTATTTTCTATGACTCTGTTTGCCACGATTATTTGAAGTTTTCTTTCGCTTTGTTGTGAGATAAATTTCGTAAATTCTGTTTCTACTTTTCCATTGCAATTTTTGTTCTCTGTTTTTATTTTCTTGTTTGATAACATAACCTGTGCATGGTGATCGAGTGATACTGTCGAAATTAGGCTCGTTAGGGTAATAGATGGGTTTTATTTCGTTCCAGTTTCACACGTCTTCAAGATGTCGACGTCTGCGATATATATTTTAGACGTGAAGGGCAAGGTTCTGATTTCACGAAATTATCGTGGGGACATAGAGACGGGTGTCATAGAAAAATTCATGCCTCACGTAATGGAGCGCGAGGAGGAGGGCAATCTTACTCCAATTATTCAAACTACTGAATGTACATATGCATACATAAAATACAATAATCTTTACATTGTGTCAACCACAAAAAAGAATGCAAACATTTCATTAGTCTTTGTATTCTTGCATAAACTGGTACAAGTGATGCAAGAATACTTCAAGGAATTGGAAGAAGAAAGCATAAGAGACAACTTTGTTGTCATTTATGAGCTCTTAGATGAGTTGATAGACTTTGGATACCCACAAACCACAGATAGTAAGATTTTACAAGAGTATATCACCCAAGAGGGACACAAACTTGAAATTCAACCACGCATTCCTATGGCTGTGACCAATGCTGTATCTTGGAGATCAGAGGGTATAAAGTATCGTAAAAATGAAGTTTTCCTGGATGTAATTGAGTCTGTCAATCTTTTGGCAAATGCCAATGGAAATGTATTGAGTTCTGAGATTGTTGGTGCCATAAAGATGAGAGTGTATCTGTCAGGAATGCCAGAATTAAGGCTTGGTCTCAATGACAAAGTTTTATTTGAATCTACAGGACGCGGAAAGTCCAAATCAGTAGAGTTGGAAGATGTTAAATTTCATCAGTGCGTGAGATTGTCCAGATTTGAGAATGATAGAACAATTTCTTTTATACCTCCTGATGGAGAGTTTGAATTAATGTCTTACAGACTGAACACCCATGTTAAACCCTTAATATGGATTGAATCTGTAATTGAGAGACATGCTCACAGCAGAGTAGAATACATGATAAAAGCAAGATCACAGTTCAAGAGACGTTCTACAGCCAACAATGTGGAGATTGTGATTCCAGTACCCAACGATGCTGATTCCCCTAAATTTAAAACCACCATTGGCAGTGTCAAATATTCCCCTGAACAAAGTGCAATAACTTGGTTTATTAAGTCTTTCCCTGGAGGAAAGGAGTATTTAATGAGGGCACATTTTGGCTTGCCATCTGTTATTGGGGAAGATGTGGAAGGGAAACCACCCATACAAGTTAAATTTGAAATTCCTTATTTCACTACCTCCGGCATACAAGTACGTTATTTAAAGATCATCGAGAAGAGTGGATATCAAGCACTACCTTGGGTGAGATATATTACACAGAACGGCGATTACCAACTGAGAACGAATTAAATAAATAAAAAAAAAGAAAAATTAGTGATGAAAAAGAGACATTTTTAATCCATTACACTAACTCTGATTATGATGATTCAAAAAATGGAAACTAGTCGGTTTGCTGCGCTTAGTACGCATCCGAACGTTAAAAGTTAACTTGATAATTATTTTCACAACTGATTGTGATCTATATAAAAAATCAATAGCTGTAGAATAAATAAATACCAACTACTGTTAGCAGTATTTTTTCGACATTTCTTTAACCAAGTAATTTTTCTCATTTATATACGGAAACGCAATAGAATCTTTTTTATTTAGATATTTTTATAATAATCTCCTTTCACGTCAGGAATCGCGTGAAACTGCAATGTACTTAATTTATTAATTATACGTTTCTTTCTAATATACGGGTTATTATAAATTCTCCATATACAGGGATTATTACAACACTCATTAAATCATTATATAAAAGAAAAAAAAATTGTACATACATTGAAAATCATGTTGTAACGATATTTTCATGGAATTGTTAACGAATTATTAATTATTTAAGCTCCAATAGTATTACATCGGAATAACTATTGTATATCAGTATGAAGACGAATGATAATATTGTTATAATTGTAAACAGTGTATTAGCACCGTAAGGCATTGAAGAGATGTATTAAATTTTTAATAGGAATTATACGTGGGTTCTTCATCATTCTGAACAGTCCAATCCTGTTTCTTTGTATTAAAAATCAATTTGAATTGCTTTTCGTATACCTAACCCGTCCCTAATCAAATCAAAACTTCCAGGTTTCTTAAATAAATCAATGTTTGGTCAAAGTTCGCCTCAAGTCGTAAGAAGTTTCGTCGGGAAAGTACATCTGGGAATTTAGGGGATGGAAAGCGATTTTCTCTCGTTCGATATCGGAAAAATGGTAAATATTCGACGAGAGGTGACGTTGAATCGTGGAAACCCGATTAGAGGGAAACGCAGCCGTGCCTCTCTCTCGTTTTTATTTTTATTCCCGCGACTACGACACGGTCATGCTATGCAAATTTCCGAGCCGCATACAGCGACGCGTAATAATTTTATGGAAATTGCTGGTCCTGCAAGGAATTTCGAAACGCATCGCCGTAGTACGTGTAAGTGGATCGAGAGAGGATGAAATAAAACGAGAGACCCTATCGAGAGACTGTTCCTATCAGGGTAGAATACAGGCGGTTTTGTAAATGGTGGGCAAAACTTTAGGAATAGATTCTTAATGCTTAGAGAAGAAAAATAAGTTATTTCAACATAGGTCCAGAAATGATTAGTTTCTGAGTTATTAAAATTTTTATGCCACAATTCTTGTCACTAAGCATTAGGAATCTGTTCCTGAAATTTTGCCCACCATTTACGAAACACCCTGTATATCCTAGTTCGTGCAACGAAGATTCTTTCTATTTATCTTGGCCATTTATGCCCCTCCCCAAAGAATACTTGGAGGGCTGTTCTTCATTTTTCATTTCGGCTCCCTGTGCGCTTGGAATTCGAAAGCAGTTTTAAACGGTCTCGTTACGCGGTAACACACTATGTATTAGACACGTGGTTGGACGTGATAACGAAGCTTGGTTAGCGGAAATTGTCGCGGTTATCGTGGCCTGGATAAAATATTTTTGAATAATTTTAACCTGTTCCTGGCGCTATACTGTGTTTGTGGCAAGTGGATTTCGGAGATAATGGCCGGCAAATTATTACTTTAAGTACTTTTAAACGGTGGGCCAGGGAAATTTATACCGAAATTATTTCGGGCTATTTGATGTAGCGTTGGGCTGTAGCTGATAAAATATACTAGTCCGCCATCCGCTTCGTGGCTGACATACCGGAGCGAAGCGATTGATTTGCAGTAAAAGTAACTTTAACAGAGTTGGGACACGATATAGCAATTAAAAGTAGTGTTTAATTGTTGATAATGTGGCGGAACAGGAATTCAAAGCTCTCGCGATACCGTAATTCCGATTTATCTCATATCGGTTTCTGTGACCATTCCTCAAGGACACCACCGATTTCTGATTTTATTTTATATAAACACTCATAGTGACCACTGCGATCGGCTTGCAAAGAATGGTCAAAATTGATAATCTAGTTTTAAAAGGACACAAAAATCTCTATTAGTTGTTTAATAGGGGAGCTTCGCTCTAATTAGCTTTTTGGAAATTAATATTTTTCTTTTTAGTTTCTGAGATCAGATCGATAAAGGTCAATGTATCCTCTGCGGCCAACGGCAATTTTCAGCTTATCGGATCGCGCTGAGATGCTTGAAAACCTATATATAAATTCTTTATTACCCGGCACGGGTAATTTATAGTCGCCAGCCATTATGGTGGCGTCGAGCTATCGATGGATACGCGCCATAAATTTCGTCACGGCTTCTTTGCAACCTCGTTGTTTCCAGTTTCACGGAGCCAGAAAGCGTTAAGGGCGGTTGAACCTTCCACAAGGGTGTGCCTCCGATATTTTTCGTTCGGTGTAATTAACGAAAACGAAAGTAATTTATTTCCTTGACGTGTACACACGCGCGTGTATTTAAATTAACGTTAGCAAAGCATGATTACCCTCCTCGCGCAACCCCCTGTTAATAGACACGGTGTACACCACCGCTCAAGGTAAAAAGGATACAAAGGTGGAAAGCAATCTGAAATCCATTAAGGGTTGCAAATTATTGGAGCGTAACCGAGTCTTTCGTTCTTTTTATTTCATCACTTTCTTCTTCTTTCTTGACTTCCCCCTTTTTCTGGGAAACGATTCTTGTTACTTCGCGAAACTGTTCCCGTTTTGATATTTTAATTTGAAATTTTCCCCTTTTATTTATATTTCGATGTGTCGGTTCGAAAAAAAAAATTCATTCCAACACGGGATATTAATTTACCTTTGTTTCATTTTTAATAACTTATTTATCGCGAACTGGATTATAAATTTCATTCTATCGATACATAGTTTTATCGTCCGAAGGATTATCACTGTTTTATTGTTCAAATAAATGTGTCGAGTTATAAATATGTACAAATATCATTTCTGGATAAAAATATAACTTCCTGTGCCGGGAATAAAAACCTGTATGAAATATCAGACGCGGAGGAATTATTGTTTCGAATCAGGAATATTTGTGTTAACGTTGAAAAAGAACATTCTGTTTTATCTTCGAAAGGAAATATAGATATTATTTTTCGTTTGGAAATTCGAGCGATTAATTTTAGTCCAGGCTACTAATTCCTATCCATCAATGATCAATCGTCCCATCGAACTCCTAATCGTGCAATTTCAAAAGCGGCAGATAATCGTATGCCAAGTTTTCACTTACACCGGCGGTGTTAAAGGGCGCAATTGCGCTCCACCCCCCAGCAGCCACCACCCTCCCAAGTGGCGCGGGGTTGGACAAATTCGCTCATCGTAATGGGTACGAAAGACCCAACTCATTGTCGGCGTGTAAGGAATTTTTATCTAGGGACAACAAGCTAACCCGAGTGGGTTAGCGACTACACTCACCAGGCGCTTAGCGCCCAATTCAAAAGCGACAGCTAAATTTCCAAGTTGCGACAGTTTCGCCCGTCACCCTGAGCCAAGGGAGACGAAACTTCGGATAGGTTTCCCTTTTTTTACAGCCGTGTACTTTAACTCGCATTTTTATTCGACCATTCCCTACGTATCCAGTCGAGTTGACAGCCACTATATATTTCCCGGCGAAGTTTTAATATCCTGCGGCTGAGATGTCTCACCGTTCTCCCGTGGATTTCGCGACAGCATCTCGGATGCAACTTTAAATCGGCCTCTCCAGAATTTCTCGAATCCCTCGCACGGTGTCGACCGATCGAGAGAGAGAGAGAGAGAGAGAGAGAGAGAGTGAAGCTCCTCGGGGAACACGGTGAAGGGAATCCCTGAAAGGGTTGCATGCATCCCCATTACTCGTAGGCCACCTGTTCCCAGGATTTTCAAGATCAATCGTACAATTTCTCCGTGTGAAATTCGTGCCGTGTTTCGACGTACAAACGAATTCGACGAATTCTTTTAATTTTAGAAGAGCTTAAATAGCAGATAAGAATTCCAGAGGTATAATTGAACAAGATACTCAAGGTGATTGCAATTACCTCTTATCGGATAGCAGTTAATTAGAACGTTTAATTAAACGAAACGATACGTAACAAACATTCGGTAACGATAATTGAACAGCAGCCAGTAAATAAATAGAACGAGAGGATAAAATCAAACAAAGGGACAGACGAAATTACGAATGAAAATTATAATTGAACGTATCACACGGTATACGTAGGTATACGCGTGACGATAAACATAGGCTGGCTGTACAATTGAATTACCAGGGCAATTTGAGGCTCGAGGGAAAGTCGCACGAAGCTGAGCCCGCCGCATCAAACGATCCCCGCTAAATTCCGGGATTCATTGAATTACAGAAATATGAATCGTAAAACCGGCGAATAACTTCCGACCTGTCTGCCGTATATTCGCGGAAATACGTTCCGGAGTAGTTTGCCATTCGTAATTCAACCAGAGTTTATGCATCTTGTGTACAAAGTGTTGGCTCGAAGTTACACCGTAGATATAAGTAGCATCGCGTTATGAATCCTGAAAGCTATCCATATACGGCCGCAAGTCTATCCGGAATGCGATGCGCGAGACTTTGGGTGCTTTAAGAAAACTTAAAATTAACCCTTTGCGCTTTTATTTATTTTTTTATTTTATTTTATTTTATTTTATATATCTAAAAGAAAACATTGTAACAAGGGTCCCTAGAATGAAATACTAATGTAAATATATGTATAATAATAAAATGTAGGATGGCGACTAGGAAAGGGTTAACTTCTGATGCTTAATTAAAGGAAATTGAGAATATTTCTTTTCGCGTTCGAGCAATTCAAGAACCGCGACAGGTAAAAGGGTTAATAGCTGATTTTTTCTTTCGATTCTGTACAGGGGTTAAACACTCGTATTGCTTTCAGAGTGAAACTAAACGAACTGGGACAGGGCGGAGGTTGTAGTCAAAGCGTGAGACAGCGCGTAAATTAAGCGACGCTCATTTTTTTTTCCGCATAGACGCGTTCTTGAGGGACATGTTTTGCCACAGGAGTTTCGCGTTAAATAAAAAACCTGTACACGTTTAACTTTCAACTGTTGGCCTGAAACCGGCTGCCTCGAAACGCGCCATGAAAGGACTTTAATACACGCGTGCTTGGGCCTGTAAAATCGGAGTGAAACGAGCCAGCGGTTTTCCCAGAGATGTTCTAAAATCAAGGAACCTATCCAAAAAAGGAAAAGAAAAAAAATGATATAACCCTTTCGCGTTAGTGACTCGCGAAGAAACGAGACTTGCCACGCTTGAAAGTACCCAAGCGAAAGAAAAAAAAAAATGTTCTTTCACCAAACTCGGCCAAAGAAACAGACCTTTCCCTAATTTTACAGCCACTCGATTACAGTCGAGATCCGCGGTAGCGCGTTTTTTCTCGCTTACGGAACACGGCCGGCACCGCTTTTCGGTGGTAATTAACCTCGTGAACGTATCCTCTTTCTCTAAGTTATATGTTTCAACGCTGCTTGTTTTAATTTCGTCGACGTGCCAGTTTTACGTTTATCTTTCCCGGTTTTCTACGCCCGATTCCCGCGCTCTAACTTCAATGAAATTTTACGGAAAAAGAAAACGCGCCTCGTTTTTGGGATGTTTAATTTGAAAGCCGATTTTATTTACAATTTTTAATTAAATATAAATTCTTTGACGGAAGAAATATGGGACGTTTGTGGGTAGAACCACCGTTTTCTGTTTTTTTCTTTTTTTTTTCGTATCCTTTGAAATACCGGGATGAAACGTAATTATTTGGGGAAGAGAGGACAATTTCTCGGAGTAAAAATGCACACGAACGACACGGTTGAATTCTCTGGCACGTTATCGATCGATGGGTCGGCGGTGGCACCGGTGCGCTGGTGGTCGCGTAAAACCGAAGAAAAGCGAGTGCACGGCTCCGCTCGAACCGAGATTCTCGAATTACTCGGATTTCTCGGAAAAAGCGACGTTTACCGGAGTCATTTGGGAACAGGCGTGGCCGCAAATCGCGATCCCACTTCGTGATTTATCCTCGCAACGATCTTCGGGGTGAAAAAAGAAACCACACGATCGGGGATGGTGTTTGATTTTAAGGGTGACAAGAATGACTAAACGCCAACCCTGTTTTTCGAAGAGACCAGGATTTGTCATTGGATCCCGGCCAATTCCGTTTCCTTGTTTTCGATTCTTACTCAACCGTGATTGCGAACCACGTTCTTTTGGAAGTCGATCCGCAACACAGAATTTGCTAGAGCAACGCTCGTATCGTCGGTTTTCACTGTGACGTCGGGACACAACTACGGACGTAGGGGAAATGCAAATAGAGAGAGAACAGTTTGGAGACGTCGGTGTCCTTTCGATGTTAAGCTTGCGGGTTAATGCATTCGAGTATCGTCGCGTTGCCGTACACGCGCGTATATGCAAATAGCCGGCAAAGAGGCCTGCGCGCAACACGCGGAATGCACCGCCGTCAATCCTCTGATTGTCGACGTCCCGACGCCCGTTATGGAAATAAATGCGACGCCGGGATACCCCGGTACACGGGCTCAGATGAGCCGACGATAATTTCTCTTGATATACGACAAACTGAACGAATGGTAAAAGTGAAGAATTTATAATAAAAGTATTCTGTGTCGATGAAAAGAGTAGCAAGCTGGTGCTACGATAACGCGTTTACCTTTCAATTCAAGCTTTTTAATAACCACGAGGTTGGTTATTAAAAAATAAATGTCGGCGAAGAAAAAATAAACTGGGAATCTAATAACGTTTGCAACATTTGGGGGAATCATTTATTTCCATTATCGTCACGGTCGATTAGTGGGAATTCCATCCAGGTCAGGTTAGTTATTACAGGAACGCTGTCAGATAATCGAACTTCAGATAAATGCAGCGCCAGCCTGCTATGTACGTACCAACGTATATTTGCATGCGTGTAAACGCCGACAAATTACCCACGCTCGAATAATGTGTCGGTCCACGTTAAACATGGGAATTGCGGTGGGATCTAGTTTGCACTAAATTTGCTAATAACCAGTATTCTATTGACATTTCGATTTATCGATTCAGGTTAACCTCTTTTTTTTCACGCCCGTCGAGGAAAAAGCTTGTTGCTAAGCTAAGCTGTTAATTGATACCGGATTTTTCATATAGCATCGATTAAAAATAGATATTCTCGGTTGACGTATGGCTAAGGGTTTAACCTGATCTTTGGCGACGTTTCATGGGAGAAAGTACGCCGCTTAAACGCATTATCAGAGGCACTCGGAAGCGGCGGTAATTAAATAGAGTGACGTAGCCGGGACTTTGCACGAAGGTTGAAGCTTACCAGGCTGAGGGTCGACGAACCGCGTTGCTTTCGTTGCACTTGAATGCATTAGCTCAGCTTAAAGTCAAGGCGACGACGTCTCTTTGCATTTGCATTTACTGCAGTGCCCGCACGCATTTGCATTTAGTTACGAATCATTTGCCGCCCAGCCGCCAACATCTTTGTCGCTTTCGACAAAGCATGGAAACACGGGCTGTGTCGGTTTCGACAAACTTCGAAGGTTTTAAAAACGGCCAGAAACTAACGCGAACATCTTTTATTCACGTGCTCGTAAAAATTCTGATCCACGGATTTTTCACTTTTGGAGAATTATATAAATTTCGAATTTTGTATCTTTGCTCATAAATAGGTTAAATACGAACTATCTATTAAAAGAAATATTATATTTACTTACAGAGTTACGTAGAAATCCATGCTGAATCCCTCGTGTACTATTTTTATAGTTAACAAACACTTGTAATATGTCAAATATACACACTACGGTTCAATTAAATAAGAAAAAATTAAAATATCACGAGCACCGCGAACAGCAAAAGTCGCGAGCGCCGAAGAAATCCGAAGCGACCCGAGGATAACCGATTCGTCAGATTCGTGCCGATCCCGAGTAGTTCGCTACTGGTAGCCAAGATGGCGTCTTGTCTGGAGAGATCGTATTAATTTCAATTAAAATCAGTGGTATTTCGGAGTTTCTTTGTGCAAAACTATCAAATAATAAGTATGCAATTAAAATTTGAACGGGTAGTATCATTAAACTCGCGAATTTAACGTAGACAAGTGTATTATGCGAACGTGGTTATGGACGGCGTTACTACGCAGTTTCATCAACAAACGACCGTCACAGAAATCGACAGGTAAGCTTACCGAATTTGCTACTGAAATCTTTCAAACAAAATAGAAAGATTATTGTAAATAAATCTTAATTTCAATATTTTATCGTTGGTATTATGCTTTCATTAAAACTTGCTATCCTTTCGACGTAGAAACTGTCATGGCTGCCAGTCACGTCGACGAGAAAGATTTTCCACCGTTTATTTTGCACGGAAGCAGATTTCATTATTAAGACGTCAACACGAATCATCCTCGTCGTTTCGATAGAGGACATCCAAGTGATAAACATCTCTCGGTGAGTACTCATCTTTCTTGCTATATTTATGCTTCCTTTTGTTACAGTATTTCTTAATACAAAATGTCGCCATACGCCATTATGATAACAATTTAATAATTTACACAAATTTATGCGAATGTAATCAAATTCTTCAAGTTAAGTCTATATTAGTCTGAAATTGAAATCGTTCATAATTAAAGCACAGAATATTTTGTATATTTTTTAACTGGGTCCATGTTTATCATAGGGGAAAATATTATAAATTTTCCCTATCGCTGTACAATCATTGTAGGTAAATAGAAAGGAAAGAACAGTCGGTAACAAAGCGATCGTTCTGTGTAATTTTGAAAAACGTAAATATTAAATACACGTTGAAAGGTTGTTCGATTTAATCCCCGCTGAAACAGCACAAAATTTATTTTCAATCCAGAACCGTAATTCCGTCCCTTTGATCCACGCGGATCCCTCTCGTCTGTCCCTGTTGCTCTTGTATCCGCTCCTTTCAATAATTTCGAGGAAATGGTACTTTTTAATATCGATGGGACGATTGTATTCGCTAGACGAGCCTCTTCATTTCCAGTTCGTGTCGCGAACGCTTTCAAGTCGGCCTCAAATGCGAGGCGAGGCATTAATAACGTTTCACTTCTGTCGAAGAAAAGGATCCGGGATGTCACGTCGTCGATATCTGTCTGTCGTTTGATTTTCTAAATAACTGTCGTGAATTGAAAGAGAACACGCTGTTCGTAGAATCGTATCAATCAGTAGTTTTCAATATAAAAAAATTTTAAAAATGGAGTTGGCTCAGTTTTCAAATAACAATGGATCACACATTTAATTATTTCAAATTCTTTTATTTACGCTGCACCATATATTCTTGTGAACGTTCCACGTTTTTCGTTATACTAATACATTTAATTTCGTTCCTCTCCACTTTTCGACCCGTTGAAAGCGAATAGAATATTCCACATGGTAAAATGATGTCTTTTGAGTTGAAAAGGACGTCATGCTTTCACATTAATTCGTTTTAATAACAACGAGGTCTGATGTTAATGGAGAGCGTTCGTTGCTACACTTTTAATGATAATTACAATTTATTGTTTGTTTTACAATGATTTTTATTTTTATGGAAAAAAACCTGTATCCTTTTATGTTTTAAAAACTGTTATAATCTCGATGCCCGTTTCCACGTATTTGTTGTAATAATTAACTCTTTGATGGCGGTCTGTAAGATTCCTTTTTCTCTTAAATTGGATAAGTTTCACGGAAATTGTCGTGCTACCAGCGGCGCATATTTTTCACCGCTGGTGAAGGAAAAAGAAAAAGTGGAGCAGAGGGTTAAAGATTTTAGTTTCGATGCTGGTGGAACGGAGTAAATCTCATTAAAATGATGGTACAAGTTTCACTACTCTAGCTAGGAAGAAGAAGAAAAGACGAGAAACTGGAGGTATCGTTAATTAACAACCCCTCGTCAAGGGGTGAGAAAAACTTTTACACCCTTTCGATCTCGATGCGGTCGTGATGGCTTGCTTACAATGTTTTCTAGTTTTCAACTTTTTTATATGTGAATTTAATCAATTACAAAATATCGCAATTATTTATTTCCTTGGTTTAGTAAATATAGGATGTTAATAAAATAAAATTTTTAAATATAAATATCCCATAAAAAAATTAATTATTAATAAAACTAATGTACAAAAATTACTTATTATTACAAGCATCGGGATATGAAAGTTTTTTCCAGAATTAATCCATATTACGATACGGTTATCCATATTACGATTACGATACGGTTTGCCCAACCACTTCCCAAATTCTTGTATCGCACTCCCATCCAGTTCCACTTTAAATCAGTGCTCGTACGAATTTCTCTCTGCTCGTTACATCCTTTTCAATCCCCTCGAAGTGCATCCTTGCACCCAAGGAGGAAAGTGTTCCAAGCGAGAGTCGGCTTTGAATCTCATTTAGTTTCGAATTTCACTCGGTTCCACGATGAAATGGGGACAAAAGAGGTGGTCGATTATAGCAGGCGATGGTAGTTAAAGCGACACCGTGTTCCCGGTGTAAACGTAGCACCGAGTCTCGAAAACTACTTACATAGCCCGCCTATCGGGCTTCCCTTTGTCGAGGCCTGGTAAACACTGGCTTGTTTGACCAGGAAGGAAAAGTTGTGTCGGTCGTCAACGATTGCCAACACTAGCCGAAGAATAGCTGTATGGGATAGAGCGAAGAGGTGGTACGGGTCCGGTTCGTCGAGTTTTCTTTTATTTTCAACCCTTTCCTCGGGTTCTTTGCCCCGTTCCTTTTTTTTTTTTTTTTTTTTTTCATCCCTCGACCAGTCTCTCCGACGAAAGAAGTATTCATTGTCCAGTCGCGAACTTCTCGAGCTTTCGGCTGCACAGAGAGGAAGGAAAGGAGGAAGTAGATTGATCGCGAGTCTGCCAGACGCAGGCCAGTCTCGTTTTCCACCCTTTTCTCCCCTTTTGCTTTTCGACTTCTTGATGAATTTACGATAACGTTTATGCCTCGTCTACCTTGCCCTACCTTTCCTCTCCTCTTTCCTATTGAATTTATTCGCGCGACTATCGGAAACGGTTAGATATTTCTCGTAAACGTTGCTCCAACCCTGCAACAAGTGCAGTCTGCGTTTGGTATTGTTAATGGCGTGTCTGTTATGATGACTCGGTGTTTAATGGTTGTTCGGGGGTGTTTGTCGAAGAGACGAATGTTTCGAACCTTGAATAATAGGGGGCTAGGAAGATGTTATCGGGGATGGTGGCTATTAAATTGTAGCTTGAAAGTAATCGATTCGCTATTGAATGGTTCTGTTTGCAACGTAACTTTGAATCGGCGTTGAAATTGAAATAATGATATATTCGACGGTTGCGAATTTTTGCCACTTTTGGCGCCGAGATATTTCGAAAACAAGACCGAAAGGAAGGTTTCGCTGGCAGGATATTAGAATTCTTATCTGAAAGGATGGAGGGACGATCGGAAGGGGGTGCTTCGCTGTGAATGTAAAAGGGCTGGGTTTTCTCGGTTTCAATTTTCGTGCAACGCCCCCCATGAATCGTTCCTTGCTGTTTACCCTTTTGAAACACGGTATACGCTTTGGTCATAACGCGTAACCCGGAATTTCTTGAAAGCACCCTGCCATTATGAATGAATTACGACGAGTATACTTACGTCCTCGGGGATCCGTTGAGTAATTTTAACTTTAATGAAAACAGTAGTAATAAGAAGAACATGCTACTAGTTTGGAGCTGTTGCTGTTATTATTATTATTAGACTGTGGATGTTGATGTAAATTTTTGTAGAAAATTTGTGATAAAATAAAATCTGGAAAGAAGAGTGGATTCCATTTAATTATTTTTTGGGATAAAAAGATGTAGATGGTTCATATTAAGATGGAAAATTAAATTTGTTTCTAGTATTTTAAACCACATGGAATGCGACATGAGTTTAAAAATGATATTAATATTTAAATGAGGTTTAAATAGCAGAGAGGAAATCAATAAATGAAAATGAAATGAATAATCATTTCACTTTGCAATTAAAGTTTTGAATTAATAATTCCATGAATATAATTCAAGCTGATTGAATTATCGAGAGTAAGAGAGATGTGAATTAATTTCAATGAACGTTTCAAGTGTATAATTTAATTTCTTAATTTCTTCCATCGTCCATTTGTGCACGTATGCAAGGAGAAGAGAACCGAGACAGTTTGCGTTATATCACAATACGAGCTCTCCTTTTTCTCTCAAACAAGCGTTATTTTTCATCCGGACAGACGTGTACAAGCGTCGAACCCTTATTCTTCTCGAAGACAAAACGTACGAGTAATTCAGCCGCATATATTTCGATTTCCCGGTTTCACCGGCAAAGTAGAAAGCCTCGTACTTTTCAGTCACGTTATCGCATCTTTTCTGTTCCTATATTTCTTTTTATCTTTTCTTTAAATCCATTTTCCTTTCTTCTAAAAAGAAAAAATTGAAATCGTACAAAGTTATTTAAATGAAAATCGAAGTTTTCTAACGATAGGTAAGAAAAACAAAGTGATAAAAATTTAAGATGCGCTTTGTTTTTCCGGGTTGAAAAGCGTCCATTATTGTTCGTGGAGGAACGGAATGTTTCCCTAGTGTTTGTAGAGAAAGGGACACGGGTGATCCTGTCGCCACTCGAGCACAGTCAATGAATTTGCGACGACACTCGGAGAAATTTTAAGAGATGCCCCCCTTTCGACGATCTTAAATCGTCGGCATCGCGATCTCTATTTCCGACCACCCTTATCTTGATTCGCCGCAGAACGGTTTGATTTCAGATTGGACCATGGTACTTCCAATTTTCCCCGCGTGGATCGATGCCCGTCGCTTTTTTGCCCCGTTCCAAGCAATTTACAGACTTCTTCTTGTCGCATCAGCAAATTAGATTACATCCACGAGCTTTCAGCTTCGCTTTTTTCCTCGTTTCCCTTTCGGCGACTCCTTCCATTTAGTCTGTCTGATCGATAATGCGACTGAATAATGTTTCTTCTTCTTTTGATTTATCTTTTTAGTTTATTCACGATGTCTGGTAGTTGTCATTGAAACTTTTGTTTAATTATATTTGAACCAACACCAGCCATAGTAGCCAACGTGTTAATAAGAATCAGTAAAATTATCATTGAATTATTAAGTGTCTTATCAGTATTATAGGATAGTGGACATCTAGTGCAGGGTTTTCCAAACTTTTTCTGCAATGGAACACTTTGCAAATCCGGAAATTTTAATGGAACACTTAGTTTATTTTTTAGCTTGAGTAATTCCTACTAGTAAAAATTAAAAAAAAATGTTATTAGAACATATTATTTATTTAGTAATTATTTTTAAATTTTCGCAGAACACCTATTCAGGTTCAACGCAGCATAGTTTGAGAAACCCTGGTTTAGTCGGTTCGGGTTGTAACCATTTATATCAAACATAATCTTCGCTCAATTCAAATGGAACTAGCATTCCTTTTCGCCTCACCATCGTTGAATCCCA